CTGCTTGAAAGATCCTACCAGTATGATAAGTGTGCAATTTATGATAGCTATAAAATCATATCCTTTAACATTAGTGGACAAATTTTATACTTGCACTGCTATTATATGAGAAGGTATTTAAAGATCATTAGCAGCTCAAAAACTCCATAAAATCTTGAGAAAATGAAGGATTAACAATATGAAGAGAGAATGTTACTATATGAAAAATGAGCTAAGGAAGCCATATTTCAAGAAAAAGTTATTAACTCACCTCAGATTTTCTTTGTTTAATAGTATTGTTTTGCATGATATTTTTTTTAAAAAATAGAATTGGTGAAACCTCTATAGGAGAAGTATCCCATTTGAGGACAAATCGTTTTTAAAGGAGGATATGATGATATGAGCATGAACATAGACCATAAAGAAAAGACTTAATCCAAATAAATAAGAAAACAAAGCCAACAATCCAATGATATAATAGTACTTACGTCTCAATCTAAGTGAAAGAGGGAATCAAACAAGAAAATGAAAGACTTTTAAAAAACCAAATCTCGACTTAAAAGGAAAGATTATGGCCAGCCTTGAACTTTCATTTATCTTCTCCATAATTTCTACAACCAATTAAATATATTCTCTATTAAAAATAATTTTTCAAAAGGGGAGATCCTGTCTAGGCTAATTAGTCAAAATTTTCTTAATTTTTATTAAATTTTCAATTAAAATAAGATTTAATTTTTACAATTAATTTAGAAGATCTATTTATTGCCCATGACCTTACTCTATAAATATGCCTTTGATTTCTAGTTGTAATAATTTAAGATTGAAATCAATAATAGTATAACTCTTATTTAAAAGATGTGTTTTTATCCATCTTATTGAGTAAGAAGTTGATCTATTTATCAAAGTAATTCCTTGTAACGTTCTTTCTTTCTTCTTTTAATCATCCGTTTTTTAGTTATCTTAGTTCATATTATTCTTGATAAAAGATTAACTAGAGAGGGTTTTCATATGATCAAATTCCTTTAGTACCTTGAATGAAATTGTGTGAGTTCTTTATCACGTTGATTGATCTTAGATTCCGTATCAATATGTTTATTATATTAATATACGTGACAATTAATGAGCTCAGTTACAATATATGTTGAAAACTACTTTGATCCTATGTTGATATAATTAATGAACTGAATTGATTAAAAATGTATATTGTAATGATGGTAAATTTTTGAGCTTATACAATTATATTATGAAATATAATTATAAAGTGATATATGTGGCTCAAGTGAGAGGTTTGAATATAATCAACAATTATGTAAGTGGATTTATATATATTATTCAATAATTATATATTATGTGTTATTGTAAAGATTAAACCTAAATAAAGTTTAAGATGTAGGTTTGACGATGTTTCATAAAAATATTTAGATATCAAAAGTTCAATTTTTAATTTTATAATAGACTAAATTAGAAATTATAAATTTTGAAAAGTTAAGACTAATTAGGATCTTCAAATTACAAATAGGAGAATTCTTGTAAAATCTCATTACTAATAAGAGAGAGAGAGAGAGAGAGAGAGAGAGAGAGAGAGAGAGAGAGAGAGAGAGAAGTTGAAGAAAAAAATTCTTCCTGTTCTCCATTGAAAACCTTTTATTGATCACCTCGGAAGCCATGTGTTGTGGAAAATGTGACAAGCCAAATGTGAAATTATTTCTTTCCTTCTCCCCCAACTTGAAACAATGGAAAATTTCGAAACATGTTTGGAGCTGCATTTGGACTGAATCTAAAAGCTATGTAAAATTCATTTACAAATCCGCACTTGTTTTTACTTTGGTTCATACAAAATTTCATTAGATGAAACATTATTCCAATTTCATATATAAATCTCACACGCACAATTTTTTTGTCACTGTAATACAACATATAATTCTCTAACTAAACTATAGTGTAAATTTACAAATAAACTCCACACAAATTTTACATAACTCCATACGAGCCTAAAGGAGAACGAACTTTGAAACTGCAATATTCAAAACCATGAGCTATTAACACAAGAATTTGTGGATGCATGATTTGGAACAATCTACAAAGTTATGCTGAAAAGGAAATTTTCATTCTGGAACTCGTAAAATAGTTTTGAGTTTGGTTCAAATTCCTATTCCATAAAATATGAACAAAAATCAGTCTTATATAGGATGGAAAATAATAATCTGATTCCAAGTCAACTCCATGTTATTTATACCAGCATTGAATCTTTTCATATGAAATACAAAAAATTATATCTTTGTTTATATCATTAAAATTCAAGAGTAGGAGTCACTAAATACAGAAAATTATGTTGTAACAGTTCAAGACTAATGTAAGTATAATATGTAGAAATTGATCATAAAGAATGGGAAAATAATCAAATAGACAGTTGGGAATGCATAGCCTCTAGGCTCCAACATGCTAACTTCCAAATTTTTATGATCTTATGGATCTATGATCTTCACACCATTGTTCAGAACTTTGGTTTTTAATCCCCCAAGATGAATATTATCCATTTGTTCTTCACCTACATAAAATGATATTATTGCCAGCAGGCCAGTAGACTTGTAAAATACCTGCTACTGGTCCTCTGTTATCACCAGAAGACTCGAAGAGATAGGTGCTTCCAACATGTCTATGGGGCAATTTGCTTCCTAATTTGGACCATTAGATTAGCTGAAAACAGATCAAATCTCTTTGAAAAAAACACCAATGATTTCCTTAAAATCTTTGCTCTTATCCTAAGGGAGGTAAATTGTCTCCAAGGAACTTCAGAGTTTCCCGGAGAGATATGGCTATGGAGTTAACATACTAGGTTATAAAATCAAAGTATTTCTGGACTAATACAACTGCCACTGTTGTAAATAAAAATAAGTTAGCACATTTCTCTATCCTAGTACTTCTTCATCTGCCTCCTCGAATCGACCACGGCTGCTGACTGCGCCTTTATCCTACTTGCTCAAAGAAACCAAGACAACCACCATCAGCTTCCTCCTTATCTTCCATGTAAATCACACTGCATCATATACCAACTTCACCATCCCCACCTAAAGTTAATTCACTGGACATGGAAAAAATCAATCCTTTAGCTAGATATACATATATATGTTGTGAAATAACTAGATGACAAGTTGATGTGAGATTACAGTGGAAGCATCAGAAAATAGGGATGGTCACCAAGCTTGAGAGCATCAACAACATTATTTACTACATTATATCATAACATAAAGCAACTGTCTTCAGCACCCAAGAACAAATAGGAAGTGGAAAGAAATTTGCAGTTCAAAGATGATTTCAGTTTCAAAATGTCTGATATAACGACCAATAAACTTGAAAAGAATCTCAAGTAAGGAAAAGATAGCAGAACACTTACAGAGCCTAAATGTAAGAGAAGACTCAAAATGGTTTCTTGGGGGCTTTCTGATCAAGTATTGCTTCCCATACCATAGATGAAAATGGAGCTTTTTTGTCCAAAAACTCCCTAACAGCTTTTTCATTCATAACAAATCCCTTTTGTCTTAAAACTGCAATCACTCTCCTGGCTTCTTCCACACCTTTCTCCTTGCACAACCCATCAACCAACCCTACAAAAGTGGTGACATTGGGAGAATGACCTGCCTCTAGCATTTCAACACAAAATTCAACAGCATCCTCTATTTTATTGCATTTATACAATCCCAGAATCAAAACTGTGTAGCTGAATGCATTAGGAGTAATTCCATTACTCTGCATTCTCCTGAAAATCCTCTTGGCGTCCTCCATTTTATGACTCTTGCAGAATCCATCAACCACAGCAGTGTAAATAACCACTTCAGGGAGTGTGCCTTTCTCGCGCATCAAACCGAAAAGCTTCATGGCTTCCTGAACAAGCCCATCTTTGCAGAGTCCGTCGAGCATTGCAACAGCATTAGGGATTAGGCCTGTTTCCTTCATTTTCTTGAAGATCTCATCAGCATCCTCCGGCGCCGGAAGCGGCGACTCAGATACTTTATGTTGTTGCTCTGATTGTGGGGTTGGGAACTTCTCTTTGTTGCGGTCAACACCAAGCTTGAATTGTTCAAGGAAACTTTGGTCGGACTGGGCACCACCATCCGTCTTCTTCCTCTGATCGAACGCCGGGTTGAAGGATTGAAGAGGGGAAGTTCCAGTCTG